CCCATCCCGGGAATTCCCATCCCAGCAATCCCCGCCCATCCCCCATCCCAGCAGGCCATTCCCATGGGTTCCCCGTTCCGGTTGGGAATTCCGGACGGTAATTCCAATCATTATTCCTGTCCCACATTCCCATGGGTCCCACATTCCCGTCATTCCTGTGGGTCCCACATTCCCATGGTTCCCACATTCCCGTGGTTCCCACATTCCCATCATTCCCGTGGTTCCCACATTCCCGTCATTATTCCCATGCTTCCCACATTCCCGTCATTCCCGTGGTTCCCACATTCCTGTCATTATTCCCGTGGTTCCCACATTCCCGTGGTTCCCACATTCCTGTGGTTCCCACATTCCCATAATTCCCGTCGGTCCCACATTCCCATCACTATTCCCACAGTTCCCACATTCCCGTCATTCCCATTGTTCCCACATTCCCTTGGATCCCACGTTCCCATGGTTCCCACATTCCCGTGGTTCCCACATTCCCGTGGTTCCCACATTGCCATCATTCCTGTGAGTCCCACATTCCCATCATTATTCCCGTGGTTCCCACATTCCCATGGTTCCCACATTCCCGTGGTTCCCACATTCCCATCATTCCCGTGGTTCCCACATTCCCGTCATTATTCCCATGCTTCCCACATTCCCGTCATTCCCGTGGTTCCCACATTCCCGTCATTATTCCCATCATTCCCACATTCCCATGCTTCCCACATTCCTGTGGTTCCCACATTCCCATAATTCCCGTGGTTCCCACATTCCCATCATTATTCCCGTGGTTCCCACATTCCCGTCATTATTCCCGTGGTTCCCACTTTCCCGTGGTTCCCACATTCCCATCATTATTCCCGTGGGTCCCACATTCCCGTCATTCCCCCGGTTCCCACATTCCCTTGGATCCCACGTTCCCGTGGTTCCCACATTCCCGTCACTATTCCCGCGGTTCCCACATTCCCGTCATTCCCATGGGTCCCACATTCCTGTGGTTCCCACATTCCCGTGGTTCCCACATTCCTGTCATTCCTGTGGGTCCCACATTCCCGTCACTATTCCCGTGGTTCCCACATTCCCGTCACTATTCCCACGGTTCCCACATTCCCGTCATTCCCATGGGTCCCACGTTCCCGCGGTTCCCACATTCCCGTCACTATTCCCGCGGTTGGTTATTCCCGTGGTTGCTCCCGGCCACTGACGGCGTCGAAGTCGGAGATGATCTCGTTGAGGAAGCGCAGGCACTCGATGCCGCCGTTGTTGATGCTCTCCTCGGTGTAGAAATCCGCAAAGTTGGGCAGGGAGGCGAACATCACCCCGATCTCCTCGTACGACTGGCTGTACAGCTCCTGGGAACCGGGAATTGTCGTTATCCCAATGGGAATTATCCCGACGGGAATTCCAGGGGTGAACATCACCCCCATCTCCTCGTACGACTGGCTGTACAGCTCCTGGGAACCGGGAATCGTCGTTATCCCGACGGGAATTATCCCGACGGGAATTCCGGGGGTGAACATCACCCCGATCTCCTCGTACGACTGGCTGTACAGCTCCTGGGAACCGGGAATTGTTATTATCCCGACGGGAATTATCCCGACGGGAACATCACCCCGATCTCCTCGTACGACTGGCTGTACAGCTCCTGGGAACCGGGAATCATCGTTATCCCGACCGGAATTATCCCGACGGAATTATCCCGACGGGAATTCTGGGGGTGAACATCACCCCGATCTCCTCGTACGAGTGGCTGTACAGCTCCTGGGAATTATCGTTATTAATTATCCCGACGGGAATTAATTATCCCAATGGGAATTACCCCAATGGAAATTATCCCAATGGGAATTATTATCCCACCGGGAATTATCCCACTGGGAATTATCCCGCCCAGAATTATCCCGATAGGAATTATCCCACCAGGAAATAACCCACCGGGAATTAATTATCCCACTGGGAATTATCCCAATAGGAATTATCCCAATAGGAATTATCCCACCAGGAATTAACCCACTGGGAATTAATTATCCCACCGGGAATTAATTATCCCACCAGGAATCAATCATCCAGCCCGGAATTATCCCGATAGGAATTATCCCACCGGGAATTAATTATCCCACCAGGAATCATCCCACCGGGAATTTGGAATCACACCGGGAATTATTATCCCACCGAGAATTAATTATCCCACCGGGAATTATCCCAATGGGAATTATCATACCAGAAATTTGGAATCACACCGGCAATTACCCCACCAGGAATTAATTATCCCACCGGGAATTATTATCCCACCGGGAATTAATTATCCCACCAGGAATCAATCATCCCACCCAGAATTATCCCGATAGGAATTATTATCCCGATAGGAATTATCCCACCGGGAATTATTCCAGTGGGAATTGGGAATCACACCGGGAATTAATTATCCCACCGGGAATTATCCCACCAGGAATTATCCCGATGGGAATTATTCCAATGGGAATTATCCCGCCGGGAATTGGGAATCACACCGGGAATTAATTATCCCACTGGGAATTATCCCGCCGGGAATTATCCCACCCAGAATTATCCCGATAGGAATTATTATCCCGATAGGAATTATCCCACCGGGAATTATTCCAATGGGAATTGGGAATCACACCGGGAATTAATTATCCCACCGGGAATTATCCCACTGGGAATTATCCCACTGGGAATTATCCCACTGGGAATTTATTATCCTGGGATACCCCAGGAATTCCTTCCCAAATCCCAAATCCCTCCCCGTTTTCCCAGGGAATTCCCTCCATTCCCAGCCTGGGATTGGATCCGGAATGAACCTGGAATTATTCGGGAATTATTGGGGAATTATTTGGGAATTATTCTGGAATTATTCGGGAATTATTTGGGAATTATTCTGGAATTTTTCGGGAATTATTCAGGAATTAATTGGGAATTATTTGGGAATTATTGAAGCCATTCCGGGATCCAGGATGTTCAGGAACCATCCCGAGGGATTTTTATGGAATTCTGGGATAGGGAGACCCTTCCTGAGTCCCCAATTCCCAGGGAATTCCCAAAATTCCTTCCCGGAGAGGAGTCGGGATGGGGACGGAGCCAGAATCCGGAGGGATAATGCTGGGATAACGCGGGAAAGAAGCAGGGAAAAAAGGGGAAAAAAGGGGAAAAAGGGGAAAAAAGGGAAAAAAAGGGAAAAAAAGGGGGAAAAAAAAGGAAAAAAAAGAAAAAAAAGGGAAAAAAGGGAAAAAAGGGAAAAAAGGGAAAAAAAGGGAAAAAAAGGGAAAAAAAGGGAAAAAAGGGGAAAAAAGGGAAAAAAAGGGGGGGGAAGGGTAAAAAGGGATAAAAGGGAAAAAAGGGGAAAAAAAGGGAAAAAAAAGGGGAAAAAAGGGGAAAAAAGGGGAAAAAAGGGAAAAAAAAGGGAAAAAAGGGAAAAAAAGGAAAAAAAAGGGAAAAAAAAGGGAAAAAAGGGAAAAAAATGGAAAAAAAAGGGAAAAAGGGAAAAAGGAAAAAAGGGGAAAAAGGGAAAAAAAGGGAAAAAAAGGGGAAAAAAAGGGAAAAAAAGGGGGGGAAAGGGTAAAAAGGGATAAAAGGGAAAAAAGGGGGAAAAAAGGGAAAAAAAAGGGGAAAAAAGGGGAAAAAAGGGGAAAAAAGGGAAAAAAAAGGGAAAAAAGGGAAAAAAAGGAAAAAAAAGGGAAAAAAAGGGAAAAAAGGGGAAAATAGGGAAAAAAAGGGGGAAAAAGGGAAAAAGTGGGGGAAAAGTGGGGAAAAAAGTGGGAAAAAAAGCTGGGGAAAAAGCAGGAAAAAACTGCAAAAAATGTAGGAAAAAAGCAGGAATAAAGCGGGGGAAAAAAAGATGGGAAAAGGCAGGGAAAAAAGTGGGGGGAAATGGGAAAAAAGCAGGAAGAAAAGCAAGAAAAAGCAGAGAAAAAAGCGGGGAAACACGGGGAAAAGCGGGAAAAACAGGAAAAACGGGGGGAAAAGCGGGAAAAAGTGGGAAAAAGCAGGGGAAAGTAGGGAAAAGCAGGAAAACACAGGAAAAAAGTGGGGAAAAACCAGGGAAAAAAGCGGGAGAGCACAGGAAAAAAAGTAGGGAAAAAGCTGGAAAAAGTTGTGGGGAAAGTGGGGAAAAAAGTGGGGAAAAAAGTGAGAGGAAGTGGGGAAAAAAGCAGGAAAAAGCGGGGAAAAAAGCTGGGAAAAAGTGGGGAAAAAAACCGGGGAAAAGCGAGGAAAAGAAGAAGCAGGAAAAAGCGGGGAAAAAAGCTGGGAAAAAGTGGGGAAAAAAACCGGGGAAAAGCGAGGAAAAGAAGGAGGAAAATGGGAAAAAAGTGGAGAAAAAGTGGGGGGAAAATGTAGGAAAAATAGTGGGGAAAAAACAGGAAAAAAGTGGGGGAAAAACAGGAAAAAAGCAGGAAAAAAGTGGAGAAAAAAAGCAGGAAAAAGTGGGGAAAGAGCAGGAAAAATAAGGAAAAAGTGGGGAAAAAGGGAAAAAGCAGGAAAAAGCAGGAAAAGTGGGAAAAAGTGGGAAAAAGCAGGAAAAAAGTGAAGGAAAAATTCAGGAAAAAGCGGGGAAAAAAAGCAGCAAAAAAAGCAGGAAAAAGTGGGGAGAAAGCAGGAAAAATCAGGAAAAAGCAGGAAAAATCAGGAAAAAGTGGGGAAAGTGGGGGAAAAGCAGGAAAAAGAGGGAAAAGTGGGGAAAAACAGGAAAAAAGCAGGAAAAAGCAGGAAAAATCAGGAAAAAGTGGGAAAAAAGGGAAAAAGCAGGAAAAAAAGGGGAAAAAGTGGGGGAAAAACAGGAAAAAAGCAGGAAAAAGTGGGGAGAAAGCGGGAAAAATCAGGGAAAAGTGGGAAAAAAGTGAGAAAAAGCCGGAAAAAAGTGGAGGAAAAAAACAGGAAAAAATCGTGGAGAAAGTGGCAAAAAAAGCAGGAGAAAGCAGGGAAAAATCAGGAAAAATCTGGAAAAAGGGGGAGAAAAAGGGAAAAATCAGGAAAAAGTGGGAAAATCAGGAAAAAGCTGGAAAAATGGGGGAAAAACAGGAAAAAAGTGGGAAAAAAGCAGCGAGAAAATCAGGAAAAAGTGGGGGAAAAGCAGGCAAAAGGCGAGAAAAAGCAGGGAAAAAGGGGAAAAAGCAGGAAAAAGAGGGGAAAATCAGGAAAAAGCGGGAAAAAAGTGGAGGAAAAAACCAGGAAAAAAGTGGGGAAAAAAGCAGCGAAAAAAGCAGGAAAAAGTGGGGGAAAAGTGTGGGAAAAAGTGGGAAAAACCGGGAAAAATCAGGGGAAAAGCGGGAAAAGCCGGAAAAAGCAGGAAGAAAGGGAAAAACTGGGAAAAATCAGGAAAAAGTGGGAAAAAGCGGGAAAAAGCAGGAAAAACATGGGGGAAAACCAGGAAAAAAGCAGGGAAAAAAGCAGCAAAATAAGCAGGAAAAAGCGGGGAAAAGCAGGAAAAATCAGGGAAAAGCGGGGAAAAAGCGGGAAAAAGTGGGAAAAAGCGGGAAAAAGCAGGAAAAAGTGGGAAAAAAGCGGGAAAAGTCGGGAATACGGACCTCATCCCGCTTTTTGGAGCCCAGGAAGTGTCGGGCCACGTGCTCGGGCAGCATGTTGGCCACCAGGGCCTCGTTCCAGCGGCGCATCTCGGAGACGCGCTCCTTCTGCTCGTGCACGTCCGCCTTCCACAGGAACAGCGTCCGCGCCAGGCGCTCCACCTGGGAATGGCCGGGAGAACCGGAATGGTGGCGGGAGAGGAACGGGGCGGGAATGGGGGCGGGAATGACGGGAATGGGAATGGGGATGGGAATGATGGGGAATAAC